TGAGCAACATTTGACGGTGTGGGGGAAGTGGGGGTGGGAGTGTGGGAGGCAGTGGCGGTGGGTGTGAGGGAGGCAGTGGCGGTGGGTGTGGGGGAGGCTGGGAGGCAGTGGCAGTGGGTGTGAGGGAGTCAGTGGCGGTGGGTGTACAAGACTGCAGCGCTCCTCTTGCTGCAGACAATGGAGCTCCAGATTAAATCCGTCGTGTCAAGACCGTCTCTTTCTGGTTCGCTGCCGCCCGGCCAAGCGACTCCAGGAGGCTGGTAGGCCTTTGATTCTCTGTCTTACTGCGGTGTGAAGAGGTGCTCAGAGCTCTCTTGGCACAGCCAGAAACACAAAAACCAGCTACTGTAACTCTTCGCAGTCAAGTGCCTCTTCATCATGCTCACTTTACCGAAACACCTTGCCGACAGCAGCACACAGACTCCAGGACAATGGATTCCTTTTTGTGTCAACAGGCATACTAGCAAAGTTCAAGAGCACGTCTCCACTACCAGTCATGATACATTAAGTGTTCTTTAAACCTAACCCTCAGTTAATGCACAGCCTCAAACAGCTACTCCAGGTCACACAAGCACCTGAGTCACAGGCTGTGTGGTGGCTCTGCGGCTAAGGATCTGCGCCTGTGGCTGGAAGGTTGCCGATTCATATCTCGAAGCTGGCAGAGGAATCCTACTCCGTTGGGCCCCTGAGCAAGGTCCTTAACTCCAACTACTTCAGGGGTGCCGTATAAATGGCTGACCCTGCGCTCTGAAGCCAAGCTTCTCTCCCTGTCAGTGTGTCTCATGGAAAGCAAGCTGGGGTATGTGAAAAGACAAATTCCTAATACAAGAAATTGTATATGGCCAATAAAGTGATCTGATCTATCTATCTTATCACTGTGTTTGAGCAGATCTATGAGATGCCAAACTGAAACAGGGACGCCTGTCATACACCCCACTGGCATTCACAAGGCTCAGCACACCACTGGACACGCTAACCTGAACCTGCACACCAACAGCTGGACACGCTGACCCGAATCCTGCACACTGACAGCTGGACACGCCGACCCGAATCCTGCACGCCGACAGCTGGACACACGGATGAGGGCCCTGCACACTGACAGCTGGACGGACTGACCCGAACCCTGCACACTGACAGCTGGACACGCTGACGAGGGCCCTGCAAGCTTACAGCTGCACATCCTGACAACTGACAACTGACGCTGACAACTCACAGAGTACCGGTGAAATAATGAGAAATACTTGTCTGTGCTGTTAGATGCTGACGCTGGATCAGGAAAACCGGCAGGGAACATCCACAGTGGCAATGAGCCCTTCCCATGGTGCTTTAGGAGCTGGGGCCCCGGGTTTGTTCAGAAGCCCAGACCCCGTGGCTGCGTGCAGGGAACACATACCGCTGCCCGACAGGTGCAGAGTGCAGCGTGCACCCCAGGCTCCTAATTGCAGGGACGCGATGACAGCTGCTCCACAGTGACCTGCCCTTTTTGTTCCCCTCAGCACATCTGTCACCAGGGGGAATGCGTTCTCACCCCACCATCAACAAGCAGCAGAGCGCTGTGGTTGCTCTGAGCCACGACGCTGACTTTAATGAAAGAAACAAGCCACACAGCACCATGTCTCTTTCAGAACATCCCTCTTACCCCACAATGAACGCCAGCTGGTCCAGTTGCTGCTGACAAGAACAGCGAGACGGGCATTGCAGCCCACACTGTGCCAGTGAATCCACACTGAATACTGAAACACAATCCCATCGTCTCAAACTGAGGAGGCGTTCTGGCAATATGCCGCCTAACGTGTGGCATTTTCATAAAACTGCACTTTATTTTCATACAAGCCTGCAGTTTATCACAGTAAAAGAAAACCATGGGGGTTGTACTTGTCAGCCCGTAACTCATTGTCGGCTGTTGTTCTTACACACTTTGTGAAGGTTAAACACTGAAGGAGCTGAAGAAAAGGTGAAACTTGGCTCAACCGGACAGTTAAACAGCAGAATGGAATTCAGATGCAATCAGGAGACCGCCAGTGTGCAACTCCACTCTGGCTCGCTAGATTGCTCCTTCTGTTTAAGGCTCATGAACAAGGCAGAAATCCAATTACTCCTGGTATCTGCAGGCTGTTAACAGGCAACCAGCACTGGCATGATGAAGTTCTTCCAAAAGTAGAAACAGCACACAGGCTAAACCCTTCTGAGACACCAGAACCACTCCGGTCTGCCCCTCTGGCTGTATAAAAAATCAGCTCAATTAACAAGAATGTCCCCCAGGGACTGTTGCTGAAAAGGGCCCAGTGGCTAAATCAACTGAGCAATGAATCTTGTATCAGAGTGCCTAGATGACAGTTATGTTTAAGTTATTAAACCAATACAGCAAAACTAGTCAGTACGCTCTCAGACACTCTTCACTGCACACGCTGCGCAAACTGCCGTGACAAACAAGGACATCGGCAAACCCCACAAACCAAACAAAACAAGCAGGCAGAAACAAAAACTCAGCTCTTACCGGACACAGAGATCCTCATGGTGGCCTCCAGCGGGCGATTGTTGTCCAGCGCGCTGCTCAGCCGTATCTCCCCAGTGGTCTGGTTCAGGAGGACGAGGTTGAGCTCGTTCCCCTGCTCAAAGGTATAGTGCAGCACATCGGAAACATCGGGGTCGTGAGCAGGGATCCTGCCAATCACTCCCGTGGGGAAGCTGCTAGACTTGTTGGTGACGTAGTTATTGAAGATGATCTGGAAGTTCTTGAGTACGGGCAGGTTGTCATTCTTGTCGATCAGCTTGATGTGCACAGTTGCCCGGCTCACCAGAGGTGCGGAGGTGGCCTGGACCACAATGACGTACTCAGACTTGGTCTCATAGTCGAGATCCACCAGGGCAGTCAGTTCCCCGGAGAAGATATCCAGCTGGAAGACCTCGGGGATGTTGCCCTCCACAATCTGGTACATGATCTGGGCGTTGCTGCCCTCGTCAGGGTCGGTCGCAGTGATCCGTGCCACCACTAGGCCAATGGGGCTGTTCTCCTCCACAAAGATGTCAAACTCATCCTTCTCAAAGACAGGGGGGTTGTCATTGACATCCAGTATGGCCACCTGGATGTCCACAGGTGACTTCAGAGCAGGGACACCCTTGTCCACGGCAAAGGCACGCAGGTCATACAAAGGCACATTCTCACGGTCCAGCCGACGCAGGGTGCGCACGATCCCTGAGGTGGACTCGATAATGAAGTCACCATCACCATCATCCCCTCCTTGGAAGGTGTAGAACACCCGACCATTGAGTCCAGAGTCGCGGTCGGTGGCAGAGATCTGGACGACACTGGTGAAGGCAGGCACATCCTCGAACACGGAGCCCTGGTACTGGTCCCGCAGGAACTGGGGTGCATTGTCGTTGACATCGTTCACAAGGATCTCCAAGTAGGTTGTGTCGGACTTCTGCGGGATGCCATTGTCCTTTGCAGTGATGGCCAGCGTGTAGGAGACTTGGTCTTCGTAGTCCAGTTCCATCTGGGTGGTGACTGCTCCAGAGTCTGGGTCAATGCTGAACTGGGGGATGCTGTCCTCCATGAAGTAAGTGATCCTCGAGTTCTCGCCGGTGTCTTCATCCGTGGCGCTTATGGCGACGACAGTGGTGCCGATGGGCCGGTCTTCATTGATGTTGACGGTGTAGTGGGAGCTCTGGAACACCGGCCGGTGCGTGTTGGCATCTGTGACGTTGACAAAGACCTGCGCCGTGTCAAACCGCGTGCCATCGGAGGCCGTGACGGTCAGCATGTACTGCCTCTCGAGTTTGTAATCTAGAGGCAGCGCCAGGGTGATGAGGCCTCCCCCGCTCTGGCTGGTGATGGCAAAGCGGTTGCGGGTGTTCCCGCTGGAGATCTGGTACGTCACCACGCTGTTGACGTCCCGGTCCACGGCAGACACCGTCACCACGCTGCTGCCCACGGTGGCGTCCTCGTTCAGGCGCATGTAGTACGACCTCTGCGTGAACTCGGGGTTGTTGTCGTTGACGTCCAGGATGGTCATGCTGACGCTGGCCGATGAGGACATGGCGGGGCTGCCGTGGTCCCGCGCCTCCACTCCGAAGCTGTAGAAGTCCACCCTCTCACGGTCCAGCTCGTCCGCCACCACGATCCAGCCGGTGCTGTTGTTGATGGTGAAGGGGAAGTCGGGCGCGGTTTCCACCAGCCGGTACTCCAGCCGGGAGTTCTCTCCTGAATCCGCATCGATGGCTTGGATGTGGATGACGGAGTAGCCCAAGGGCACGTTCTCCAGCACGGTGGCCTGGAAGGGGGTGCTGACGAAAATGGGCGCATTGTCGTTGACGTCCAGCACCTGCACCGTCACCAAGCCGCTGATGTTCGAGAGGGGGGGGCGGCCGCCGTCCTGCGCCCGGACGCGCAGCGTGTACTCCTTGTTGGCCTCGTAGTCCAGTTGGCTCACCACGTCCACCTTTCCCGTCTGGGCGTCAATGTAGAACTGCCCCCGCGTGTTGCCGCTCATGATGCTGAAGTGCACCACCGCGTTGCTGCCACGGTCGCGGTCTGCCGCGGACACCTGCAGGATCTCCGTGTTGGGCGCCATGTCCTCGGGCACCTGCACGATGTAGCGCTTCTCGCTGAACTGCGGGGCATTGTCGTTGTCGTCCTCCACCGTGATGCAGACAGTGGCAGTCGAGCTGCGTGCCCCCGGGTCCCGGCCTTGGTCGTTGGCCTCCACCAACAGCACGAAGGCCTCCACCGTCTCGCGGTCCACCGGCCCCTTGGTGCGGATCACACCCGACCTGGGGTCGATCTCGAACACGTCATTGGTGCCGTTGGTGTTGAGGATGTGATACAAGATGTTGGCGTTGGCCGGGGAGTCGCCGTCAGTGGCGCGCACCGTCAGGACCTCGTAGCCGATCTCCAGGTTCTCCCGCACACTCTCCTTGTAGTCCTGCTGCTCAAAGACGGGGTCGTGGTCGTTGGTGTCGCTCACCAGGATGGTCAGGGTGGCCATGGAGGACCTGCGCGGTGTGCCGTGGTCCAGCGCCGTCACCCTGAACACATGCGTGTCCTTGGTCTCCCGGTCCAGCTCCTCCGCAGTGCTCACTGTCCCGGAGTGCGGGTCGATGGCGAACAGGCTGTTGGAGCGGCTGTCAAACAGAGCATCAAGCGAGTATTCCAGCCTGCCCGCTTCTCCCTCGTCCGGATCCACGGCCTTCACGACCACCACCGCCGTTCCGGCAGGCTTATTCTCCGGCACGGACACCTGGTACATGGGGGGCTGGAACTGAGGGCTGGAGTTCACGTTCCTCTTCCTCCGGTTAGCGATCCCTGCCTCCGAGAGCGCAGCCTTCTGCAGCAGCTTCTCCAAGCGGCCCTGCCTGAAGGAGCCCAGTGCGATACGCCAGTGCACCGACACACTGTGCGCCCCCGCGGCTCCTCTCCCTCCCCCTGCTACCTCACCGTGGCCCCTGCTTACGCACCTGCTACAGTGGAGATCCAGTTCCAGAAAGGCGCTTCGCCTCAAACAGAGACGCTCAGAGGCGAACAGCTCACCGCTTGAGAAATAGACACCGGGATTGCCCGCCACGCCGCAGCGAAACCCACAGGCTGCCAGTGACTCGGGCAGGAGCTCCGCTGCCCGAAAGAGCGGAGCCCCGGCGTCATAGCAAACTGGCTGGTGACCCCGTTCGGTCAGCAGGCTTATAATATCCATGTCCCGTGTGCCTTTCCTGCGGTGCCTCGTAAAACAGTTCCTGCCGTGTACGTGAACATCATAGCGGCTGCTGACCAGGTGGCTGAAGAAGGGGGACGAGTGATCTCTGCAGTCGGCGGCGGTGTAAACTGTGAGCGGGTTCGAGGGCAGCTGGGCACAGCTCAGCTCTTTCGAGAGGAGCACGGTTCCCTCTGTCGGGCTCGTCTCCAAGAAGCTGTTTGTGAATCTGGGGGTTATTACCTGGTCCAGCGTGCAAGTCCTGCCCAACCTCGCCACCACTGTCCCAACACTCGCCCCTTCACTCAGGTGAACACTGTACCCATCCGAAAAAACCGCGAGCGCGACGAAACAGGTACAAAACAGCAACACATCCCACTTCAGGAACAGCATTGCCCCGGTAACAGGTTTACCCATCTCTCGTTCTCTCTCCTTCTTTTCGTTTTGATTTTTTTGCCCGCAATCCTTCCCTCAAACTTTCCTCCGGGTCGGTCTCCGAAACTGCTGCGTGATATCCATGTTTGGCTGTAATCCGCTTTGGAAATGAAAAGACTCCAAAGGCGCTTCGCCTTAGCCGACGGTATATTCCCACAGACGCTGTGTATCCTCCGCTGTGCTGCGTGTGAATGATCAGCTCAAAATGGCTTCTACTATTCCCTGCGCCTTGTGGGCAACTCATTACCATAAACCTGCTCCAGTACAACAGGAGGAGAGGAGGGAGAGAGAACACAGCGGCTGCCTGGATTGTTAAAGACAGCTCTTAAAAGGGCAACTCTGCTGCGCCCGGGGGGTGGAGTGGGGACCCTGACTTGTCAAGTCACGCCAAGACTGGCAAACTCGTGAACCCCTGAGCAACACCGGGCCAGACAGAGAAATGGATGAGAAATGAAACAGCTATCAGATGACAGTGTTTGATTCCAAACAGAACATCCCTGCGGCTCGCGTCGATCGATCCACTTAAGAGCTGAAACTCAGTCTGGGTTTTATTTTTTTACAAGGAGGAAGAAATAATAATAACAATAGTACAGTGGTACAGGTAGCTTGGGGGTAAAAGAGGCGACTGAAGGAGGTAGTTGATGCGACACAAACACTATAGATTGTTTAAAGGGATGTGAAGTAACAAAAAGTACTCCAGACGTGTTATCTTTTTTTCCTGAAACAAGGTTCAAAATATACTAAACACCGAACAATTTACCCCCGGACTGCAATTTGTTGAGTAGATTCAAGGCCTTGTCTGTATAAACACAATGATAAAAGGAATTTAAAAACCGCCTTCGGAGTTTTTTTTTTGTTTGGTGGTTGACAGCAACTGTAAGATTAATAATCCAAGTGTGAGAAATGACCTCGATGATCCCGAGTTACGAGTTATTTTAACTTGTTCGGAATCCGAAATCTCCTACCCTTCCAGATTCCAGCACCGTGCTCGGTACACCCATTTACTGCCTAAGTTTTAATATAGGTGTATAACGAAACGTGTTTCTTTTAAAGTTCAAATAAAGAAAATAGCGAGGGCTTTTTGTCCTAAATAATTCAAAGTTCTGAAAGATGTTTCTGCTCTGCTTCCCAGAACCAGATGCTCACCGTTTTAACTTCCAGTGCGATAAAATTTACATGACAGTGGCTTTGCGGCTCTGCGGGTAACCCGCACACACCCGCTGTGAGGTCTCGGGGGACTGCGAGGCCTTGAAGTTTCGCCAGTGGACATGCGGCCTCAAATACGCCGTGTTGCTGCAGAAGGAATGCAGCTCGGTAATGTCTACAGCATTGTTCATAAACGGAATAATGTTTCTTCCAAAAAGTCAAACTTACTTAATTGTAAATCACGTATAAGCCAGGGAAGTCTATATAAAATATATGAAACCGCAACATCATCGAGAGGATTTTCTCGATGGGATAAAAGGGAGTTATCCTAACCTACTGGCGAAACAGGGGTCTGAACGCCAGTTCCTGCAGGGTCTCGTCCTTTCTTCTTTTGACCCCCAGGAAAACCCCGGTTGAAACCCATCTGCTTTAAAGACCAAAGTTAATAAAGACGAGTGAAGAAGACGTGTTGGCGAGGCTACAAATAACGACCAGTACTTAAGGGATGAAACATTTTCTACCACTAATATCTGTAATTTAAATTCAAGTTTTATTTCCTATAGTCAGACGCATTGATCAGGTGGTGTGTTTTTTTTAAATGTGTTGTTTAAGCTTGGTTGTGCTGAGTGCACCTGCCTGGAAAGTTCAATTAGGAATACATTTATAAGAATCCTTTCCCGTTACTCAGCCTGGAGCCCGAAGGAAAACCCAAAAGCGAAGTAACATCGCCACCTACTGGCATAATTGAAAATTGGTTGCACCTGTTAGGAACAGGAGGGAGGCACTTTTTAAAAAACTAAGGCATAATATGGAAAACACAACGCTTAGGCTGTGAAGCCTTCTTCAGGCGTGAGCACACTTGAAGAAGACTTCACAGCCAAAATGTTGTTTTCTCTCTTCTCTTTTCAGCATGGAATACACCTATTGTTGTTTTGCAGACTATGCATGCTGACGCAGCTACCCACCTAAGGTATAATATAAAACATATAAAGCTTAACCTTCTACTTTCCCTGTTACACCTAAAAACCTTGTTACTGAAGGCTACAAAAGCACTGTATATAATATAAAATCATGAATCCTCCCCTAGTTTCTGTTACTATGCCACTTGCTGTCAGGAATAGCAATGGATGAAACAAGCCCACAAAAAGCCAGTAAAAACACTGAAGCACTGCTGTGGTTTTGACAAGGTAATTTATTGTACTGTACAACACCAATGCAACAATCAGTAGTCCCTTTTCTCTGGTCACTGGTGCAGACAAATGAGAAGCATGATGGGACAGCAGTCAGGGGGAGACCCTGCAGGACTCACATGCAGTGTGTTCACAGAGTGTTCCCTCTGATCCACGATTAAAAGAAACACAAGAGGCTCAGTTTCTGGACAGTGAATTCCTGCTACCGTCACTGTGTTTCTCTAAAACAGGGGGGGTCAAACTTCAAACTTAATTCTGCCTCTTGTCCCCCAACAAGGGCTGCAGGCTCCTCCAACTCCTCACTCCCTTCAGGCTGTTCTCACTTAACTGAATTAACCGTGTCACCTCCAGACCCCCCTCAGATGAGGCACTTCAAATCTCCTCTGTTAAACCATCTACACAATGTGAAAACCTTGCAGGGCTTTCCTGTTCGAATGCATGATCAACCAAGAGCTGAAGTAGGAAGGACAGATCCTGCAGCCCCGCAGGACTGGAGCTGGGCTCCCCTGTGAGCACACGGGGCTACAAGCATTTGGCCCCAAGGCGCCCGAGGCAGAAGGCATGGCACCGCGGCACCTGAGGCAGGATGCAAAGGCATTCTGTTCTGCACTTGCCTGCGCCCAGTCGGAAAGTGTGTTCTTGATTTGCATTGGAAACAACTCATTTACTAATTAAACTAGAGGGGAACAGGCCGTACGTGTCTTGCATGGGGTGCCTGAGGAAGTACAGCACAGAGCACTACAGCGCAGCTCCCTGCTCTCTCAGCAGGGTGCAGAGAAACCCGTGGCTCACAGGCCTTGGCGCCCAAGCCTCGGGGGAGAATGTGATGTTCCTGTAACGGCAGGGGGCCTGTGACAGGCACTACCAGAAGTTCTTGTCACATGTGATGGAAACAAAACCGCGCACCTATGAAATGAGCCTGCGCATATCTACAAGCACTGCTGTAACGGCACATCTACAAAGCACAGTTCTCACCTGCCCTGACCACACGCAGAAAGGCTCAAACTCAAGCATTGCTATATGCTGCGTTTTCTTTTCCTGAGATTTTAAGCCTGAGTGGTGTGACCAGGCATCTGTGGAACATGCAGTTGGCTGTAGTTGTGAATACATGTGAAAAGACCTTGAGGTGTAGTTTTCCTGGGGACTCAGACTGTGGCGGGGGGAGAGGAGAGGGTGGGGCGTTTAGGGTGTTTAGGAATCGTTAACAGACATGTTCTCGACTTGGTTCTGGAGGGCCTGGTCCACTGAGCCCTGCTGCTTCTTTTTCCCGGCCTCCTGCTGTTTCTTCTGTTTCTTGGATGGCTCCTGGTCGATGGGAGCGGCCTTCACGAACTTGATCATCTCGTTCATGCCTGGACACAGACACAGAGCATGGCCATCAGATCCAAGTCTCTCTCACACACAC